ATTTCTCTAGTGACCAGTAATATTGAACATTTGTTCATGTATTTATTGACATAAGAGTTAAAGTTATCATATTACAATGATATATGGATACCCATGCTTGTAGCAGCACAATTTATAATACTAAATCTTGGAAACAGCCCGTTTGCTCATCAACAGATCAATGGATAAAGAAAATATGCTGTTTATATACAATGGAGTACTACTCCGCCATAAAGAACAACAAACTTGGGACCGGGATTTAGCTCAGTGTTTGCACCACCTGCCTTGCAAGCACAAGGACTTGAGTTTGATCCCCAATACAAAAACAAAAAATAAACTTGAATCATTTGTAGGAAAATGGATGCAGCCTGAGACCATTATATTAAGTGAAATAAGTTAGACACACAAGCTTAAATACTATATGGTTTCTCTTACATGAGAAACCCAAAATATAAATAAAGAACAAAATAAAAGATAGATACTGGGAATTGGGAAGAGATATTCAACTGAGAAAGGGAACAAGATATTGAGAGGGGGAGTGAAAGGGATTAAGAAAAAGAATAGAAAGAAAAACATGGAAACAGGGATTTTTGAGATGTGAAGAGGACCAAGAGATGTAAGGAGAAAGGAAGGATGGAAGGTTAGAAGACAAAAAGAATTGAAAGGTGCTATGCACATCTTCCAACTCCCCAGAGTGACTGTAATCATTATGTATAGTGACTGCAAACATGTACTGATGCAGCAAACGTTAAGGGATGTTTTAAGGTGTATAGGCTACCTAAATATTTTAACAATTATTTTTATCCTTTCCTTCTTACTATGATGTTTGTCTTTGTGATTCTAGAAATGAAATTAAATATTTTAGGTATAGCACTTATTTATTATTCCTGCAAAGATGGATCAAGAAGTCATCTATTAAGAGAAAAATGTGTTATTCCTCTGAAAAACAGCCCCTTTATACACTTTGCTTTTCTGACTTGCCTGGTTTGCGTTATTACTTCATTACTTAGACTGTGCCACATGGCTGGCTCGGACTCTTAATTTATACCTGTTTACTCTGTTTGCTCATGTAATTCCCTCCTTTTATTCAAAGTCACTTCGGTGCTAAGAGGGTAGAAGTGGGGAACTTGCAGTAATATTATTCATGCTCAGCAGGCTCCCACTGTGCCGAGTGCAGTTATAATTCCTTCTGTGGACTTAGCTTAGCAGCCCAAATTCTCATTTCATGAGAGGAATTTAAACACTTGATAAGAGCAGTGAAATGATGTTTATTTCTGAAGTTATTTTAACTGTTTAACTTTTGGTACAACATAAATACTAAACTAGACTAAAAATTATTTATGGACTGAAAACTTTGTAGAAACAATAAAATATAGTGTCAGTTTTCAAGGAATCTTTAGCAGTTGGAGATTGGGACTAGCTTACTTTCTTAAAAAGAGAAAACAGTGGCTACTCCTCAGTATCAGGAGGATTGTGTTACACTAGCCGTGTAACTAAGGTTCCAAGTGCTTTCTAAACTCAGAGATGAGGGAGAGATTAAGCTTTAAAATCCCATGGGAAGATGTGCATTTATTTTATACTTATTTTATACCTGAATGTGGAAATTAAAGTGGACCAGGTATCGGTGAGGTATAAAGAGACCTCTTTTTATAGATACAAACTGCTAAAGCTAATCAGCACTGCAGAGGGCAGTGGTAACCGGTGATAATTTACTCCAGTGACCCAAGGGCCGGGGAAGCAACAAGGTGGACACAGTCGCTTCCTATTAGATTGATATCCTTATATCGAAAACATTTTTACAGACTCATTTTGAGCATTCATTTTTACATATAAAAACAGTTAACTCAGCTGCTCTTCTAGTCTCTGAAAACAGGAACAACGTGAAATTGACTCACAGTTGTAGCCTGGAATAGGTCATTGAAAAACACTCTGGTATAGTTTGTATAAATTGAAATAATATAGAAATAGGCAAAGGAAAAATAACCACATTTCTCACTGTTTAGTATCTGTATGAAATTAAATAATATGTTTGTGTAGAATAGCACTGTTCAGTAGAAATATGGCTTCTAGTAGTCTCATTAAAAAAGTTAAAAGAAATGGGTGAAATTATCTTTAATGATATATTTTACTTAACTGTGTACTCACAGTATTGTTTTAAAATGTTATCAATATAAAATTATTTGTGAGTTTTTTTCTGTACTGTCTTCTAAATGCAATGTTTGTTTTACACTTAGAGCAAATCTGAATTTGGGTGAGGCACATTTCATTTGCTCATGTATCCAGCAGCTGCCTTTTTGGACAGCACAATTCTAGGACAAGATCTTTCCCTTTTTTTCCTACTTTCTACATATCCAAGAGGAGCTCAGAAGCTATCACTGACTGCTGCCTTCGGAAAGGAAGGGCACACACTAATGATTTGGTCAGGAAGTGGCTGAGACAGCGTGGTTCATACTCCTGGATGACTCAAGCAGCAGTTACACAGTCAAGAATGTGGTCTAGCAAAGACTGAAAAGTGATTGGACTTGCTGCTATCATCTGTGAGCCTGTGTTATGACTGTGCTAAGAATATTGTGTACTTCATTTGTGCGGAACTGAACTGTCAGTTTCTTATTTTATTAAAAAGTATACTTTGAAGGATTTTCTTTTGCACAGATATAAGGCATGATTTTAAAATTATTATTTTTATTTTCTGCAGCAGCTTTTTCAAAAACTTCAATCATTTGCTTTTAATAATATTTTCAAAAATAAACATTCATTTTATTGGAGAGTTGATAATTAAATTATATAGATAGATATGAATTCCTATTGCTTTTTCTTTTATGGCATTTAGAAAAAAATAACTTTCAAACTAGAATAAAAGGCATTAAGGTAGAGATTTATTTTTACGTCCTTCTGTATTATGGTTTAATTGTGTGGATTGCCTTAAAATGTGCATTTATTGAAGTTGGATTTTAATAATAACTCTTTTAAATGAATGCTGGTTTATATATTTTGTGGGCTAAATGAATTAGGCTTTAAACTTTTATCTGAATCTATGGAGCTTGGATATAAATTGAAAAGATCACAGCTATGGGGAGAAGACCTATACTGCAAAGGCCTTTCTGCATAGATTATGAACATCATAACTCAATAATTTTTCAAAACTATGGCTATAATTGGACCCAATGGGGTTCTGTTTCTTTGATCAGATCACAGCAACTGTGACTTTACATTGGAAAATGTCACTACTGTGCAGGTTTATCACCTGTAGAGCAGGTCTTTCCTCTGATGCTGTGTTCATTTCTCATTAGCATTATTCAAAGTTTAGTTGTTAATTAGGTTGACACTTCAATTACAGTCATCATCTACAAGAGTAGTCAGAACTGCTTGTATAAGGAAATAAAAATATTCCCTTTTGCATATATGTATGTAAAGGCCAAATGACACTTTTATTATTTGATAGTTTCATATGGACAAGAACATGCTGTGTTAGGAGAACAATTCAATTAGAGTTGGTCTCATTAAGTTGTTTTTTTCTTAAGGAAATGAATTATTACATAATTTCATGTTTCTGTTTTAGGTATCTGTGAGGGATAACATTTTAAAGTATACAAACTACAGTTTTATATTTGTGGAAAAGGAAATAGTGAAGTGAATTTCATACACAGGAGCGTATTATCTCTTCCCCTTGAAAAAAATAAGAGTTTATATCAGGAATATGAAGTCATTTAAAAATTAATCTAAGGGCAGTTTATAAATACAATTTTCTATGTACATAGCACTTGAAGTTAAAGGATGAATCTATATAAAATTATGATAAATTTAAGCGCTTTTTAAAATTTTGCAAATGCTTAAGTTTTTCTTTGATTTAAAGACATTAGGACTTTATTCCTGTTGCTGGCCTATGAGGCAGTGATATTGAACTCAAACCCAGAGTGTGGTAGTGGAAGGAACTGGATAGACTGAGTTTATATCTAGATTTGCCTCTTATTAGCTACATAGGGAAGATTAATACATGTCTTTTTTATTTAAATTTTTTATTAGTACATGTTTGCAGTACATATGATTACATTGATTATAGGAAACTGGTACATGCACATAACACATCTCAGTTCTGTTTTTTCCCATTCCCTCCTCCCCCTTTTATTTTGCAAGCATCAGGTTCATTTGTTTTTAAGTCCTTAAAAAGTTAATCATCATATATACAGATTAACAATCAGACTAAAAGGCTAAAAATACAAAACACATATGACAATTATACTAAATTAAAGTACACTTTTAGATACATTGTCCATGCTGATTTTTTTTTCCTGTTATCTATTTCACACTTTATTCATGTATTGAGGTTTTCATATAAGAGAAGCCATGAAGGTATTTAAGCTTGTGTGTCTGTCTGATTTTAATGCAAGTCTTTGAGCCTCTATTTCTTTATTCATTAATGGAATTATCAGTGGTTTTCTTAGAAGAATGTTGTGAAATTGAGACAGGGTGTAATATTTGCATAATATAATTCCTCACTCATGGCATAGTCTCAATAACTTTGTCTCTTCTCCCCCTCTTTTTTCTAATAATGACAAAAGTATTGACTGGAAAATTACACATGCAAATGAGGCTTCCAAAAGTAAAATATAATAGTAAGCAACCCCAGAGGACCCATAACAAATAACCTTACATAGCAGAAGTGAACAATAGCCAACCAGCTTCACTTCAGAACAAGTAGACACATGTTGTAATTTTCTAAAAATCTGCAGAAAAGTGGCTCACAAGCAGTTTACTGTAAAATAATTAAAGCTTATTTATGTCAAGAGGCCTTGGGAAAAAAAGCATAAACCAATTTGCATTAGCACGTTACTATGGTCTCCTGCTTTCATTTCAATTAACAGACCAGCAGGTGCTCTCCGCAGTTAAAAAGATAAGCTATCAGGGAGGAGGATGAATTTTTGGCTGACCTGCAGACTCTGTGGTTTGCCTGCTGATTGGGTTCGTACCTCGCTGTACCAATTTCTGAGGTGTTAATTTAACTGTTCCTCTCTGTCATGCAGGTCTCGGCCTTGAAAAATAAACTGAAGAAGCAGTCTACAGCTACGGGTGATGGAGTAGCTAGGGCCTTTCTTAGGGCACAAGCTGCTTTGTTTGGATCCTACAGAGATGCACTGAGATATAAACCTGTAAGCATTTTATTTTGTCACTCTTTTAACTTGCTTCTTTATGGTTCTTTGGAATGAGGCCAAGAGAAACACTATTTTAATATCATACCTTAAAAAATATAACTGCCTTAAATTCCAATGTAATATGCTTTAAAGCCTGCATTCCATCTTCAATTGCATGACTTTTTGTTTTTAGTACTTTTGGTGACCTTTAGTTAATACTTATTTTACTTTTTTTCATATTACTTTGTTAAAGTTCTAAAAATGAAATATTTACACCTTAACTAATTAATAATTGCATTCAAGCATATTAGAAATCTTACCTGAATTTATCACCATCATTAAGTCCACAAGACAATTGAATTTATTTTTTGAGTTTAAATATGACAAGTACAAAGTGAAAAATTTTTTAAATAAAAAATTTAAAAAATTTTGCAGTATTTGAAAATTTGTTGACTTCCTACTTAACACTTGCTAAAGATATGTTTATCAATTTAGCATTTTATCTTATCCTGCCATTTATTTTAATATGCTAGCAATGATTATTGTATGAAACTGTAGCCAATCTTTTTTTTTAGATAGTCTAAGTGGGATAACTTGAATGTATTTATCTCTTTCTGTATTATTGATTAAAGTGTGCATGTTAGGTTGATTTTATATAAATCATTGCACAACTGTTCCATGACCAGACGAATAAGTTTTAAGAGAAAAACATTAAATTAGTAATAAATAATAGACCTGCCATTCATTAGCAAATTTGTTGCTAGGATGTGTAATGTTTAGTCTCCAGACTTCAAACTTACTTATAAAAATGAGAATTTTACCCTTGTCCTCTTTCAGGGTTCATGTGTTGATTTGGTTATAAGCTAGGAAGCACTAATAAGCTTATGTGTTATAGCTTTTCTAAAATGACTTCTGAATTAGTGGTTCCCACCCAGTGTCTCTTACACCTTTCAAGGATTTATTGGGTTTTTGGAAGGCATCTAAAGACTCTGCACCAGGTGCTCTCTTTAGATCAACACGTATCTTTAGTTTATGTGCTATGTGTCTTAGTTTTCTGTTACTGTTATGAAATTCCCAAGATAATCAACTTATAAAATGTAAAGGTGGGTTTTGGCTCATGGTTTTAGAGGATTCAGTTTATGTTCTGTTGACTTCACTACTTTTGGGCTGTGCGGGGGCAGCCATCCTGAGGAGAACACAGGGCAGCAGCGCTTCTCACCTCACTGTGGGGGCTGCAAGAGGGAAGAAAGGAGAACTTTTCATAGAGATATATAGAGTTTAGAACATTATAGAGCTCATAGTATGTCACATAGATATGTAGCTCAGAGAGGAGGGTCTTAAGATTTGTTAGGTATAAGGATCTGGTTCTTTGAAAGACTGGAAGCTAAGCAGTCATCCCTCTTGCAGTAGAGGGTATTAATGTTCAAATTATTCAACCAAAATTAATTCAACCCAAATTAGTAGTTTTTAGAATAAAACTGGTTATTAATTTTGTAAAGTCAGATATTTGTAATCTGAATTAATTTCAAGTTTATAGTACAGGAGACAAGTTCAAAAATATCACTTTGATTGAGTGATGCCATATTTAAATATTTATTCAACTTCCAAACTGTATTTTCTTACCATTTTCCTGTTTGTGAAGGACTCCAGATTTGAGGAGACTAACACATTGAAATCAAAAGTAAAATTTCTTAAGTTATTTAAATTGTGTGAGGTGGCGAGTGAAACAATTAAAATATCCCATGTTTAGCATTAATCACAATTATTTATAGACTGATATCCTCCCCCTTTGAGCTTCACTGAGTGAAAGAAGTATTTGATTTCCATGAATGAATTTAAAAAAATAAAACCTTGAAAGGCATATTTCCAGAATCTATAAAAAATGTAATCTCATCATAGAATCTCTTTTCTCTTTATTAATCACCTCTTATTATAAATTTATTTGTTAATTTATCTACATTATTCATTTCTATAGTTGATATTTTCTCCTTTTTTTCTTCTGCTAGTTCTTTTTGGGAATTATGAGATGATATTTTTGTTTTCTATGTTTTTACATTTGTTCTGACTGAACCATTGAACAAAACTTACTTTTTAAAGTACTCTGATGATTTAGATAATTATTAGAGATGGTCTCAATTTGTAGTTCAGGCTGCCCTTGAACTTAAGGTGATCCATCTGCCTAAGCCTCCTGAGTACTCTAAGCTACTATCTTTACAAAGTGCCTTGTATCATAATTTATTAAGAGTACTTTTTAAATTTTAGAACTTTTTTGGTCAGTTATAAAATAGACAAATATCTTTGATGTATTTTTGATAGAAGTAAATAAAGAAGGGCCAAGTGTAAAAGTTATACTTTTTTCATGGTTTTTGTCCCTTTAGAAATATATTTTAGTAGTATCCTTTAATTAGAGTACAATTGGAAAGGAAAAACCTACTAAACAGAGTTAAGTGAATATGAATGCCTTCACTAGGCATTACTTTTTAAAGTTTAATAATGTTTATATGCATTACTTTTATCACATGTGACAAAATTTAAAAATGTATGTTAAGCCTGGGCTGATCAGTCTAAGGGGTCGTCCCTTCCCTGTCATCCCAGCCCCTCACTGTGAGTGTGCAGTTTGTCTTTTTTTTTTTCTTTGTTTTCCCTATATGTTGACCTCAGTTTAGATAGTTCGGTCTTAGTTTGTAGATGTCCTCAACTCCTCAAACTTCCAAACCTTATTTATAGTGTTCTTCCTTCCTGCAGAACTCTCCTTTTCCCTCTCTTTTAATAGACATAGTTATTTTATGATTCTTGAAGCTATAGGTCATAGTGACCCTTTCTATGAATTAATTACATTTACTTTAAAATATTTCTTTTCATTTATTCAATGTTTCCTCTCTTAGGATATCTTAGGTAAGTTTCTTAAAGGTTTCTATCTTCTAAATGAATGAATTGGGGCTCAGATAATGGTACTCCAGACTGGTGATTTGATATCCTGAGCCAGAGAAAGGTATAGAACTAAAGTCCCTCTGACCTCCACCACCATCAGTCAGATCCCTCCTCCTTTTTCTCCAGAAGCACAGGGAGAGATTTTCCTCCCATAAAAAAGGTAATTATTTAGGAATCTCATCAAATAGCCAGGAGAGACTAATGACCACAGAGAAGAGACTAAAAGTTGTCACCGTGCCTGGAGTTTATGATATATATAATATATGTATATATGTTATTATATTTATAAAGTATAATAAATATTATACTTATCCATATATTATTAATAAATGGCTACCACTTTGAGTAACTCTTGTAATTATAGATGCCAAAGGTAACTTGTATTAATCTCAATATATCTCTCAATAAATTTAATATTAAGATATATGTTTTATTCCTGACATACATATATATATATATATATATATATGAGGTAAGGTAGGATAATTTGATGTATATATACAATGCATAATGATAAAATCAGTGGAGTTAGCATTTTTACCTCAAACATTAATCATTACTATGTTTTGGGAACCTTCAGACTTTTTTTCTAGTTATTTTGAAATAAAGATTGTTGTAGAATATGATTGCCCTTCTAGGCTACATACAGAACACCAGAACGAATTCCTCCTATCTGAATGTATTTTGGTCACCTTTAGTGAACCTCCACCTTCCCACCCTTATACCTTGCCCTTCCCAGCCTTTAGTTACCACTATTCCATTCACGTGAATTTTTTAGTTTCCATATAAGAGAAAGAACATACTATATTTTTCTTTCTGTTCTTGGCTTATTTCACTTACCATGATATCCTTCTGTTCCATCTACTTTCAGGTAAATGACAAGATTTCATTCTTTTGTTAAGGCTTAATAATTATATTTCATTATGTGTGTTTATATATTACATGCATACAGCATTTTCTTTATCCATTCATCTGTTGATACATACTGATTGATTTCTTATCTTGGCTCTTGTATATACAACTGTAGTAAATATGAGAATGCAGGTATCTCATATATATGTAATATATCTTCATCCAGTAGTGTGTGCTGGATATAATAGCTCTAGTTTAATTTTTAAAGAAACCTCCATATTGTTTTCCTTCATAACTCTATTAACTTATATTCCTACCAACAGTGTGTAAGATTTCCCCTTTCTCTGTATTCTGACTTTTTTTTTTTTACATTTTGGTAGTATCATTCCATCTGGGATTAGATGATATCTCACTGTGGTTTTAATTTTCAGTTCCCTAATGATTAGTGAACTTGAGCAATTTTTCATAAACTTGTTGGCTGTTTGCTATTTTCTTTGAGGAATACAAATGACCACATTTATTCATATTTTAATTGGATTTTTTTCTGAGTTGTTTGAATTTATATTCTGAGAGCAATCCCTTGTTGAGTAGCTTGCAAATACTTTGCCCCTGATTGTTTTTTCATTCCATTCCTTGTTTCCTTCTGTACACAGAAACTTCTTAGTTTGATATAATCCCATTTATCTGTTTTTATTTTATTTTTATTTTTTGTCTCTGCTTTTGGGGTCTTACCCAAAATAGCTTTGCCTACACCAATGTTATGTATTGTTTATTGTTTGTTAATGCTGAATCAATCTTGCAACCCTTCCAAATCCCCTCAATAGCACTTGTATATTTTTTAATGGGCTGTCATGTTTGGTTTGTTACTATGTTATTGAAATTTTCATATGTAAATTCATTAGGGATATTGGTCTGTACTTCTTAATCATTTCTTTGTTCATTTAGATATTAGGGTAATTCTAACCTCCTAAAAGGAATTTGGCAGACTTCTTTCCTTTTCAGTTTTTAAGAGTGGTTTGAGAAGAAGAGAATTAGTTTTTAAAATATTTATAGATTTCAGCTGCAAAGCCATTTTTTAAATGGGAGACATTTAATTACTGCTTCAGTCTTGTTATTTATTATTGGTCTGTTTAGATTTCCTTTTTTTTTTTAATAATTCAACCTTGGTAGATTTTTATGTATCCAGATAATTATCCATTTTTCCAAGGTTTCTAATTTATTAATGTAGTAGTAGTTTCTTGCACTCTTTTGTATTTTGTATCAGTTGTAATGTCTCCTTTTTCATCTCTTCATTTTATTTTTTTCTAGTCTGACCAAAAGCTTTTCTTATCTTGATAAAACACACACTTTGTTTCTTTTATATTTTTTAAATTTCAGTTTTAAGTAATTGTATGATCTTTTGTTAATGTTCTGATTTTTATTATTTTTTCCTTCTAGTTATTTTGGATTTTTTTCTGTACTTCATCTTCTCGATCTTTGAGGAGGTACATTGTCTGTTGTTTATCTAAATTTTTTCCAATTTTTGATCTATATATTTGTTACTATAAAATGCCACCTTAATACTTTACTTGCTTTATCCCTCAAGTTTTAACATGTGTTTTTATCTCTCTTTGTTTCAAAAAATTTCTAAGTTTTTCTATTGATGTGTCAATTCACTGCGTATTTTTCTATTTTCACTTTTTTTCATTACGGTCACAGAAGATGCATAACGTTTGTTTGGTACTAGGTGACAAACTCGGGACTTTCTGCTAGTGAGGCAGGTGGCAGCATCACTGAACCCCTGGCATAACATGGTTTTACTTGTTAAAAACTTTTAAGATTCAAACTGTGACTTAACATATAGTCTGTTCTGGAGAATTTTCCATTTGCTTATAAGTATATGTCTTGTAGCTATTGGATAAAATGTGCTTTAAATTTCTGCTAGGTCCATTTGATCTATGATATGATTCAACTGTGATGTGCTTTTCTTGAATTTTTGTCTAGATAATCTGTTCATAGATAAAAGTAAGGTGTTCAAGACCTCAACTATTATTGTATTAAGGTCTGTTTATCTTTTCAGAGCTAATATAGTAAGTACCTGATTTATGAACATTCTATTTGTGAACTTTCACAAGTGTACTTACTGTATAAGACTTACTATGTTAGCTTATAAGTGAATCCAACATATGAACAGTTCTCCTGGAATAGAACACATTTGTAAGTCAAGAACTTACTGTATTTATTTGCTTTATAGATGGATGCTCCAACATTGGATCCATACATGTTTACAATTATATCTTCTTGTTGAATTGATTACTTTATTGATATGTAGGGACTTTCTTTATCTCTTAGTGTTTGATTCAACATCTTGTTTTGTCTGTCTAAGCATACTTGACACTGCCTCCATTTGTGTGGAATATCTTTTTTCAGATACTTCACCTTCATCCTTCACTTGTCTGTGCCAGTGGTGTGAGTTTCTTGTAGGCAGTATATAGTAGTATTTTTTTTAATCCATTAGGCAAGTATGTATCTTTTGGATTTAATCCATTTACATTCAGGATTATAATTGATAGGTAAAAACATGCATACTATTTCATTATTTTTGACTCTTGTATACTCTTTGTTCTTTTCTATTTCTCTTATCTTTATAGTTTGACAGTTTTCTGTTGTGACAAGATTTGATCTTTTTTTGTATATTTGCTTTAGCAGTGAATTTTCTTCTTTCATTTTTTTAACGATGGGCTACTGTTCTTTCATTTCTAGCTGTACAAATCCCTAAAGCATTTCTGGTAAGTTTAGTCTGGTGGTGAAGAATTCTTTCAATTATTGCTCATGGCAGAGAGACTTTGTTTCTCCTTCATTTCTAAATAATATATTTGCTAGATATAATTTTTTTGATTGCCAGTTTTTTTCCCCCTTTCTTTTGAGACTTCAAATATATCATTCCATTCTCTTCTGGCCTGTAAGGTTTCTTTTGAGAAATGTGATGTTAATTGCATGAGGACTCTCTACTGGGTGACTTGTTGCCTTTTTCTTGCTATTTTTAGAATTCTGTCTTCAGCTTTGATTTTTGCACAATTTGACTTTAATATGCCTTGGACATGTTTTATAATTGAGTCTACTTGAGGTTATTTCAGCTTCCTCAGTCCAGATATTTGGGTCTCTGTTAAGATTTGGGAGATTTTCAACTATTATTTCTTAAATATGTTTTCAGTATCTTTTCCTTTTTTTATTCCTTCTCAGACCCTAAGACAAATATTCATTTGTTTGATGATGTCCCATATGTCTTGATAACTTAATTTTTTATTATATTTTATTTTTGTCTGAGTAGATTTTTTTCAAAATATGTGTCTTTGAGTTTATATTTTCTTTCTTTTGCTTTGGCTATTCTGTTGTTGCACTTGATCTTAGCCAAAAGGCCGAAAGTGATGGCTATTGTTGAAGCTGCCAATTCTATGTATTATTTAATTGAAGGTTTTGGCTACACAATTCATGTTTGTCTCTTTTGATTATTTTTATCTCTTTGTTGAATTTCTCTTTTATATCATGAATTATTTCTTAATTTCATTGAATTATCTATTCTCTTGCATCTCCCTGAGTTTCCTTAGGATCACGTTTTGGAATTTCTTAAAGCATTTTATAGATTTTCTTTATATTCGTGTCTATTTATGGGTATTAATGTGCTGCTTTGCATGTGTTTTGCTTCTTTGCTGTGTTAATACATTTCCATTGCTGTGGGAAATACTGACAGCCATAACTTACAGAAGAGGTATATTTTGGCTCTCAGTTTCACAGGTTTTGGCTCATGATTTGTTTCCTCTGAGGCAGAAACATCATGGCCGATGATCATGCCAGACAGAAGCTTCTCAACTAATGGCATCCTGGAGACAGAGAGCAGGGGAAGAGCCCGACGAGACAGGGACAAGATGTAGTACCCACAGTCTTGCCCCATGACCCACCCAGATATACTCAGCGCTTTACTAGTATCTCAGGAATGTCAAGCTGACAGTTAGAATTAACCATCACACTTACTTGTTCATGTTTCTTGTGTCCCTACTTAGATGCCTATATATATGGTATTATAGTCACCTCTGGTTTTATGGAGTAACTGTCATAGAAAAGGACTTTTCATTCAGACAAGATGTAAGATGTTAGATGGGTGGGTGGATGATTTGGCTTTGGGTCTAAGTGAGTATAGATTCTTTGTGATTTCTTTAACTATAATCATTGTGAGCTATACTCAATGTCTAAAAATGCTTCAGTAGTCTACACTTCAACTTTTTCAGAAGCCTTGATGTGATTTTGTACTGAACGTGGGCTTCCAAATGGTCATACTTCAGGCCCTACATGGTTTAATGTTGATGGTGGTAGGATTTTTGCAAGTACTAGCTGTAGTTCTAGAGATTTGGGATGTGGAGGTTACTTTAGTGTAGGTACAATGAAGTGAGTAAAATTGATATTATAGCTTATGGTTGCAGTTGCAAAAGTGTCAGAGCTGCAGAGCACAGAAAGAGCTATCTCCAGGTCCTGATTGGTGAATATGGGTGATTCTGGAGCTTGTGGCAGTAGCCGCTGCAGTCTCAGAGTGGCAGGATAGTGAAAGGCCTTTCCTTTGACCTGTGAGGCACATGTTGGCCTCAGGGGCTTCTAATATCATCAGAAAACATGCTGGGGATGCCTATTAGCATTTACAGCAGAATAAAGTCTAGAACTTCTGTTTTGATGATGGTACTGTGCGGTAGCAGCTTGAATTCTGGGGTTGATGGCGGCCCATTGAGACTTTCTTCTCTGGTTCGAAGCAGTTACATGTTGTGGTAAATATTGACTTCCAGGTATTCATATCTTCTGGTGCTGCAAAGTTGGATGGCAATGCTGACAGGAGCCTCTTCAACTGGATTTAAAGCTTCTGTTGACTGTGGCACTCTCATGAAGTTAGAGCCTCTGGTCCACGAGCATGATGACGATCACTAGTACTTTCCTGCTTTGCTTTTCCTGGCAATATGGCAATTCTTCCTTGCTGAGGAATATGGGCCCCAGTTGAGTGTGCTTTGTTCCTCTTTCTGTGCTGCCATTCCATGCCCCATGCTATTTAGAGTTCCTGTCCCTCCCTTGACAGTTCCAGAGTTCTCTCTCAGTCACTTTGCTTGTAATGCAATCCTCAGTTTGCTTCCCTGTTCTTGTGGTGAAGGTAAATGCCAAACACTTCTATTCAGCCATCCTGAATACTTCTCAGACAGTTTTCACTGTTCTTCTGGAGACAGATCTTAGAGATTCCCTATCTGCATAAGATAACCTTGTTTGCAGTAAAGTTTAGTACTTCACTTTCCCCAAAACAGAAAAGAACTTTGTCTTAGGATACTGTTTTCACGCTCATTCTCATCTTGTAAAAATCCCTATGGTGTCGTTTACTCCTATCTATTAGAAGGTGAACAGGCTCAATTTCCCTTTCTACTGCAACAAGATTCATTGCAAATTAATTAATTATTATCATTATTCTGTCTTCATTTTGATCATAAAGTACAGTCACTCACCTTAATGTGTGTTGAGTAGGCAAGGGCACCATTTAAGCTGATAAGGGGATCATCGGGGGAAAGGATCAGCTAGCGAGTGAGAATTTTCTAGTAATACAATAAGTGGAACAAGTGGATCTGTAAGACTAGAAATTTAAATCTTTGTTCATTTGGAGGAGGCACTTTTGTTAGAACTATCAAAGACACTTATGGAGAGATGATTACTTAGCACATAGGGTACATAAAAGCAGATGCCAAGTGGGATTTATGCTAAAATATATACAGTAAAATTGTATCTGTAGTCATGAAGACTTGATTGTAAAAAACTTTTCACTAATTTAAAAACAAATTCATGATCATTACTAACAGATATGGCAAAACTATTCAGCAACAAGTATAATAAGAATATTTTCTAATACAAATGAAATAATTTTCAGAAGAGGAATATTTCTATTAACCCCAAATTCATCTATTATATATACAGATCTATTCATTGAATCTATGCCTTACACTCTTCTGTGATTCTCCATGTGCCTCTGTAAATAGACTGGTTCTTTCTCACTGAACATTTATTGATGCCCTAAAAATCCTTATTTCTATCTAGGGTGAACCCATCACTTTTTGTGAGGAAAGTTTTGTAAAGCACCGCTCAAGTGTGATGAAGCAGTTCTTGCAATCAGCAGTTAACCTTCAACTTTTTAAGCAGGTAAGAGTGGACCTACATGTTTTTGGTCTATTATAGAATATTGTCATTGTTACACATTTTTATAACTCTGAAACTATGTCTAAGCCCTGAGTAGACTCTTTCCCTGAATTACAGGAAGTTTTCTTTCCTTCTGTAACTCTATAACTAGCTATGGAATAGTACTTTGAAAATGCAGTATAACAACTTCGCTATTAAAAAATTCCTCATAAAAAGTTCCTAAGCTCAAGGTTTCAACGAGGAAAGGTATACATCCATGGAAACAAAAAACATAAGTAGTTTAGGGGATCTGAGAAGGAATTATTTTGGTATGGTAGATTGATAAGGTAAACAACTAGAACAATTTCAGTATAATCTAGTTTATGAAGTATTAAATAAAATATGAATATTTAACTAATATTTTGAACTTTGTATGAATTTTCCTAGCTACAAATACAAAATTAAGAGAAAATTCATATTTATATTGTACGTCTTGAGTTCTAGTTCAGAAAATATAGTTGGTACTTCACAAAAGCAAAAGCTTGATATCAGAATTGAGAAATTTTATGTGGACTGGTTCTGGCATTCCATTGTGGGATCATAGCAAGGTTCTTAAATTGAGATGTCTTCATCTCTGTTTATATAATATAAATTAAGTTCCTAATACGTGCTTTTCATATTCCGCACATGAATTCAGCATGTAACAAAGACCTTTAACATGTCATAAACATTGCTTGAGTCCAGAAGAAACATATAGTGACTTTGAGAAGCTGACGTCTAACATAAATTTCTTTGGACTTGTAGAGAGGGGAAAACACCATATAATTTAACCCTCAAATTAGTAAAGAAATTATCTTTGCAGCAAATTAATCTTACTATCCATCTTCTGAGGAAGCTTTAAAAAACCATCTGAAATAAGAAGATACTCTAGTGATATAACATATACTTTTACCTTAATGAAAGGCATGCAGCTATCCTAGTCAAGCTTCTAGGAGCATGCATTTCAAGGTTCAACTTCAAAGATGCAGTTGTCACCCTTGGAGGTCCTGGTCCCTAGATGTCTCCAAGCCTTCGCTGAATTCCTTCCCAAGGTTGGAAGGAGGATCAAATGATAGTGCTTTATAAGTGCTGAGGTAAACACAGAGCAATCCCAAGCCAGACATCCAATGAATTCTTAAGTTAAAAGTTAGTGCTCTTTTTGTATGTTTAACCTATCAAGAGGAGATGCTGTTTTCCATTATGAAAAATGACTTGTGAAGATCAGATTGTGCACTGCTCAAGGATTGAATGAGTGTGCAGAATATCAAACTTGTTACTTTTCTTTGTTGATGAGACTCTTTAGCTAGATTCTTAGCATTGGATGAAGTTAATGTGGTATAATTTTTTTTTTTTTTGGCACAGTAGTATTTTTTTACATTTGGTTTTGAGATATATTTTTGGAATTTGTTTTTTGGAGTCATAGAGAGTTGGGATATTCTTCATCACTTAATAGCTGTTTATGAATACCTGTTTCTTTTTCTTTAAAACATAAATATTACCACTTACACAACAGGGTTGTGGTAAAGTTTTATGTGAATTAGTATACATACACTTAGCATTGTGCATAGTACTTCGTAGATGCTTTGTAAAAAAATTACTTTAAAAGGAACAACATATTGACCAAACTGACTTCACATCAGCAACAATAGAATACAGAGAATTCTATATATCATCAGTGTGTTGAGAAAAAAAACCTCTGAGAATAGTATACTAACTAAAACATTTTTTATTACAATTGGTAGGAAGACATTTCCCAACAAAAACTGAGGTAGCCCCTTATGATGTCTTTATTAATGTGACCACATGTTGTTGATAATCTGATGAATGTTGTAATTTCATTGGGGAACTTGTCTGAATCACTAGGAAGGCTTTAAAAATAGGACTGTATTATTTTGGAGAGAGAAATTCAATCTGTGGACAATGGCCTTCAGTCAGCCCTTGCCTTTGGGTTCAATTTTGTCCATGATTCTCCTTTATTGACTCCCTCCCCTATCATCTTCAGGCTTACTTAGGCAACCCACACAGTTATATAAAAGCCAATTTCTTGTCATAAATCTTTTCTCTATGCGTGTGTGTGTGTCTGTGTGTGTGTGTGTGTGTGTGTGTGTGTCTGTGTGTGTGTGTGTCTGTGTGTGTCTGTGTCTCTGTGAAATTTCTTACTGGTTCTTTTTTTAATAAACTGAATCTTTATTGGTACATTTAGATATACAATAGTTACATTCATCATTGGTGTCTTGTACTTTTGTATGACATATCTTGATTCTTATTTTTCCCCATTCTCCTCCCTCTTACTGGTTCCTATTCTCCAGTTGAACCCTAATTGACATACCAATAGCACAAGGAAATTCTTAGGGAAGTACTTTGAGAGAGTTTTAGGAAGAAAGTCAGTTTTCTCAGATGGAAGATCCAAGATAGGATGTCTGAGATGTAAGAAGGAAGAAGAACAAAAGAACAGTAAATATGTGGGTTACAGTTAAACCGTGCTAACTGCATAACACAGATAATTTCTTGGATATGTTCAAGAACTGAATGTTCCAATCTGAAGTAAAAATTTTATTTTGAAATGGCAAAAGAACACTCTCCTGTTTATTTTTAAAGATGGGATAATTACATAGTATTATCATATCTATATAGACTAATGACACTAAAAAAAGTACAGAAATACATGTATATAGTCTGTTAATTTTCAAAGATTTTTCTAAGTTAAGGTTTTTAAGTCTATAATTTCTTGATCTGCTTTTTTGCACTTGGAGGAACTAAGCTAATATTATTTTTCCTTTTAATATTAGTGACTATTAATTTTTCAAAAAATTAAGTTTTGGTGTGTACATTATATTTGGGTCCTATCCATCCCCCTATTATCGTCCCTTATACACCTCTCCTACACCTTTTATTTTCTACCTCTTACCTAATAATAGTGTCCTTTTTATTTTCATATCATCTTACATTCTGTGTAATGGGAGAACATGAAATCTTTGTCTGGATATGACTTATTTTACTCAACATGTTGGTCACCAGATCCATCCATGTTCCTGCAAATGACAAGATTTCATTATTTTTATAGCTGAATAATACATATATGTGTGTGTATTTCTTTATCTGTTGATAGATACATAGGCCGGTCCCATCATCTTTGCTATTGTAAATTATGCTGCAATAAATAGAAGCATGTATATATCCCTATTGTATGCTAATTCCTTTGAATATATATTAAGGAGTGGTATGGCTCTATTTTGAGCTTTTTTAAAAGCTTTTTGAGGAACTTACATAATTTGCATGGTGGATGTACTAATTTATATTCCTACCAACAGTGAAGAAGGGTTACTTTTCTCCCAACATTCTTTATTAACTAGTTTCTTTGCAGCTTCTATCATACAACAATGTTGAATTTTGTTGAAGGCTTTATCTGTGTCAATTGAAATGATCATGTGATTAGTATCCTTGACTCTACTTATGTGATATGTTATGTTTATTGATTTATGTGTGTTGAAATATCCTTGCTTCTCTGGAAAGAAAACAACTTGACCATGGCATGATTTTTAAAAATTTGTTGTTGCCTTCACTTTGAATTTTATTAAAGACTTTTATATCTATATTCATCAGATAGATTGATTTATAGTTTTTTTTTGTTATGTCCTTATCTAGCTATGGTATAAATGTGATTTTGGCCCAATAGAATGGGTTTGGAAGTGTTCCTTCTCTTTCTGTTTCATGTAATACAGTGGTACCTTGGTTTATGAATGCTTTTTCTTATGAACAATTTTGTTTGCAAACAAAGCATTTGGTAAATTTTTGTTTTTGTTTGTGAACTGTGCATTGAGTGAAGAACATGACCACAGACATCTATTTCACATGAACATGAACATGGCCATTTTTTTTCAGAATCATGGAATGAATTAAGTTCTTGGACTGAGATACCACTGGAGTTTGAAGAACATTGGTATTAATCCTTTAAAAGTCTGACAAAATTCAGTAGTGAACCCATATAGTCTGGAGCTTTTCTTTGTTAGACTTCCACTGTTACTTCAGCATTATTGCTTGTTATTAATCTTTTTAGGCTTTTTATATTCTCTTGGTTGAGTTTCAGTAGGTCATGTGTGTTTAGAAATGTATCCATTTCTTCTAAATTCCCATTTATTAGAATATAGGTTTTCAGTGTAGTCTTTAACAAACCTCCAGAATTCAGTAGTGGTTTTTTTTTTCATCTCTAACTGTACTGCTTTGTTCTCTCTCTCTCTCTTTTTTGTAGTTTGGTTTAAGCACTTATCAGTTTTTATCTTTTCAAAATAACCAACTCTTTGTTTCACTGATCTTTTGCATTGTTCTTTTCCATTCTATCATAAATGTTAGCCCAGATACTTATTTCATTCCATCTATTAGGTATGGTCCTGGTTTGTTTTGTTTTTCTAAGACATTTAGATGTATTATTAGTTTATTTATTTGAAATCACTCTGAGTTTTGAATATAACTATAAATCTCTTAGAACTTCATTTTTTTTTTTTTTTTGGTACCAGGGATCAAACTCAGGAACTTGCACTTTTGAGGCAGGTGGTGGCACCACTGCGTTAAATCCCCAACCTTTTTTGTATACCAGAATTCTAGAATGTTTTCATTTTCATTTGATTCTAGGAAGTTTTAATTTCCTCTCTGACTTGATCATTTCAAAGTGAATTGTTCAATCTCCACCTATTTGTATATTATCTGTAGTTTTTCTTGTTGATTTCTAGTTTCATTCCATTGTGATACGATGATAGAAGCTATTAAAATTTGCTTGATAGCATAAAATTAGACAGAAAATTCTGTAGAAATCTGTTAAGTCTGGTTGATATATGGTATGGTTTAACTGTTTCTTCCTTGCCATTTTTGCCTGGATGACCCATATAATGTGAGAGCATAGTATTGAAGTCACCCCCTATTATTGCTTTTGGACCTATAGGGCCGTTTATGTTGAATGGTGCTTGTTTTATGAAATTGGGTGCACTGAG